TGGCAGCCACCCGCCGGACCAAAACACCCTCCAAAACGCGAATTGACAAATTTCCAAACGAGCATCAATCGATCTTTGCATTCGCGAGCCTGTCATTGGAGCCCGCGATTACGTTCGACATCCGAACGTTCTGCCGTTTGTATTTGCTGTGTTTCCGGAGCCGTTTCCGTGCGACCATGACTGGTACCGACGACTTGGTTACAAGGTAGTTACTGAACGATCCGAGAAGAACACTGCCATAGTTAGAAATTGCGCGCGTAATATTTGTAAAGATCAGCTCACCCTTTCAACGCGTTGCGGCCTCGCGACCCCAGGATCACCAGGGTAGGTTCCAAGAAGTCGATCTATTCAACGTCTGTCAGCAAACCGCTCCAATTCTAGGTGCCAGATCGAAATCTTACCACTTCAGTGATCATGTGCTTGGGGCTCTTGCAGTGAAACACCTCAACGACGGCACGCACTTGCAGCCGGGTCTTCCTTAATAGCTTGACGCACCGGTCCGACACCTCTACACATGCCTGGTACCTATCTTTCTCCGCCTTTCCCATGTTTTTCACGTTGGCCTCGGTAGCCATTATGGAGCTGGATAGCGCGGAGAAACCAGGTCTTGTGGCTGGCAACCCGTCATGGTTCGACAGCGTCCGTTTGAGATGATCAGATTCCTGCCGTCCGGTAGTACCTTGACTGATAGGTGCACCTGAAGCATCCGTGGTTGCGACTCCAGTTTCCTCATCGACGGCATAGACGGCGAGTAGAGTGTCGCCATCTCGCAAAACGGTGCCGATGGTCCACTCCAAAGCATAGGCTGCTTCGTCACTTAGATCAGTAGACACCAGATACACACGCTGTCTTCTCAATCCGTTCTTCGCATCTTCTGCAAACTGAACGTAGTCGCCTCGGATTATTTGTCGGACACAGCGGTGGGCTTCTGGGCTGGACTGGATAGGTGAGATGTTCAGCGAAAGCTGCTGGGCTGATTTGATTTCGGCAAGCTCATCCTCGTGGTCTGAATGGACTGGGGTCGAAAGACCAGACCCGCCCTGGTCAAAACTGGTATGGGGATGCACCACTCCCGACGAACCCTTCCTCGATATCCTTTCCCCGTTGGGGCCAGTAATGTTTATGTTGGGGTCTAGTAATGATCGTACTTTGTAGGAAACGGCGACATCTCGCCCTGTGTAGAGTTAGTGAGATGTACAAGTCGATCTTGTTTGCAACACTTACGCTCCTGCTCGGCAGCAGCCAACAGACTCTTAGCAGTGATGACTTCTCTGCCCATGCTGTCAGTGCCGCCAGACGACTTTCTCGACCGCTGCCTGCCTCGTTTTCTCTCCTTGGTTTTGTTCCATCCGTCTTCCCAATCTGAACTATCCGAAGCGTTATCACTACTCTCGACAGCAGCGCTATCTTCGCCGTCGTCGTCTGTCGCAAGGCGCACGCCTCCACCGGGCGCGGTGGCCGTGCCCTTGACGGGATCAACGCCCTTGCGATTCGGTAGTGAGGACAGTCCGCCCTCAGATTGCGCCAAAGCAGAGTCGTTCAGTTTGCGATATGCCTTGTCCATGTCAATGCGCTTGCCCGATTCTGTGACGAAGGTATTGTTCGATGTTGGTGCGGCGGGCGTTGGGTTTGCCATGCGCGTTACTGGGGAGGCAGATCGGCCTGGCCCCGGAGAGCCAGACTTGGATCTGCCCAAGGGCCCACTCGCAGAGTTGTGCCTATCCCTGGAGTTGCCTAGGAAGCCGCTCGAGTTGCCATAGACGGAGGACATGGCACGAGGCTTCGCAGCGGCATCCAGCTTGCCACCCTGCGAGACTCGCTTAGGCATGGCATGTGCGTCGATGGAGGGCAGCATTTCGAACTTGTACGCCGATTCGGGGTTCACGCGACGCGGCGACGAGGGCATGGCGAAGGGGATGCCAGTGCTGCCGCGGCTGGAGCTCCTACGCTGGGCCGGCGAATCGACGTCCAGCATGCTGCGAATGGGCGAGGCAGCGGAGCCAGGACTTTGCGCGCGCTGGGCTGGGCTTTCTGCGCGTCGTGCGCCGGGCTTTTGGTTGCCTTCGAGAATCTTGACGACCTCTCTCATTTCCTCGTCGATAGCAGCTTCGAGTGACGCCATGGTGGCGGTGTGCAACTGGACGAGAAGACACGGAGTCGCGTGTGGAGTGCGGACTGTGGAGTTTGTGGAGTAAGTGAGTGAGGCTGGCGGCAGGTCGAAGTGGAAGTTTGGTAGTAAAACGCGGTCGTGCTCGCGGGGTAGCAGAAGTGGTTAAGGTATCAATTGGCGTCGCGCTATGGCATCATAGGCGGTGCTGTGCTGTCGGGTGAAGGGGCTACAAATAGCAGCGATGCAGTCCCGAGCGCAGTCGTCTGGAAAGATGTAGGGTGAGCGCGTGATGGGATGGACTAATAGCAGCGGTGGGGTAGCAATTCCAAAGACTGTAGCAGCTGGCAGTAGCTGAAAGCGATGGCGGGCCGAACCGTAGTATACAGAATAGCTAACCGCTGTCGGAGAACAAGTTGTTCCCTAGCAGGTTGATGGAAGCGGACGACATGTGGAAGTCAAAGCGCGAGCAGCAGACGATGAAGCTATGCACGAACAGTCAGCGCGCGTCGATGGTCGCGGGTGCTCTTGGTCCAGGCGATGCGAAGTGGGCATGAAACCCCTCCCCTCAACATCTAGCGATTTGGCAGCGCTTGGCAAGCGAAGATCACCAGAGACTGCCACGCCGCTGACGCAGGGACGAGTGGCTACTTTGACATGAACAGGCAGCAACGCGCAGATGTGAGGATACTTTCCACTACTGTCTTGTTGATTTCAATCACCAAGCGCACGCATGTTGAGCACTTCAAAAGCAGCGCGCGCATCTTTCATATGATGCTTGGCGATTAGTGAAGCAGCCCGGGGTGTGGCTGTGCTGTGCTGGCAGACGCATCCATGGATACTCATGTGGAGCGCCCTGCGGTCTAGCCAAAAGAACAATGAAAGTTACCTCATCATTCCCGAATCAACCGACGTAAAGCGAAAACAGATGCATAGAGGTGCAGGCATCGATAGATATATTATACATGGAGGCTCCCTAATTAACAGCAGTCTACCTCTTCCTGGGCAGAACAATGTTAGCACGTGCAGCAACACCAAGCTTGTGGATAGCATTGCGCCTGTCCCAGATGCCACTCGTGCCCTGTACTACAGCAATGAGCTCCTGCGCAATACGCTGGGCAAAGCTGCCTTTTCCACTACCCATATTCCTGCGCTTAGAAGCTGCGGCCAGGATCCACTGGATAGCAGAACGTCGCCGTTGCCTTTGACCCAGCGGAACGGGGATCTGAAGAGCAACACCACCTCCAGCAGCGCCACGCTGACTACGAATGCGCATCAGAGGCGAGACAGAGTCAATCGCGAGAGTAAGGTAAAGCACAGGGTTGAGGGGTAGATGCGATGGTGGCGGCGCGCCAGGAAGCAGAGGTCGTGCTGGGTTAATGGTGGGAACTGGTGATGTTCGCAGGTGTTGCAGGATCAGCGCCATGTTCTGCGATGCAAGTCAGTTGGTTGTAGGCTGTGATCCAAGGCTGGCTGACCTACTCGCTCCGCAACGCTCTTCTTGCCGTGTCGCATGAGCAGATTGGTGACCTGGTCGACTACGGGGTCGTGGCGATGCTTGACATGGCCGTCCTTGGGCAGCGGCAGAGTGGGCATCTCATACTTCAGTCCTGGCGTTGTGGGCGCTTTTGTGGCAGCCTGGAAGTCTACGAGACCCATGTCCACGCCGCTGTTCCCACTTGACTGTGTCGTCATAGTCGAATACGACCGTGAGCCCTTGGGTGCCATGTTCGGTGTCGTCTTGGGCTTTTGCGAGTTGAGCTTGTCCTGCATCACCTTGGGCAGGTTCTGTTGCGCCTCTTTGTCTCCCTTGACTACCTAGCACACTGTCAGCCCTCGCCTTGCCATGTTTGCTGTGGATGACCCCACATCTTCAATTGGTGTGCCCTGGTTGAGGTCGGGACCGTCCTCTCCCATCGTCTTGGCCATCGAGGCTGCTTCTTCCGAGACATGTTCAATCGGCTTTGCGTCCTCTCGCTTCGATCGGTCGGCGGCGGGAGGCTTGGTTTGATCCGAGTAGAGGCGGCATTGCGACGGCGCCATTCGGAGCGCTGACCGAGCAGGCCATTGAGCCTGAGGCCTTGGCCGGAACGCGATCGAGCGCGTGATCGCGGGGACGTTTAATCGTGGCGGCATTGTGTTGTGTTGTGGAGTCGGCTTGGTGATGTTCTTGCAAAGTGACGCCGAATATTCAAGCCGATGTCGCGCTACAGCGTCCGTGCGCAGTTTGCCTTTACCCCAGATCAACTCAACGTGTTCGGCAGCTCACCACCATGATTTGATGTTGCCACATTCAAGATGCAACGCATGCGCCCATGCATAATTGTACCCTGAAAACCTTCAATACATCATATCCTGCAAAACTACAATGTATGAGGCAGCATATACCTTCAGAGTGCGGGCTGATTACTACTTGCACCAAACGAGCTGATCCGTAGAGAGCGTTACACATTGGAGAAATGAGCCGGTGAGACGAACGTCATTGCCGTTTGTAGTTGGGCTTCGGGTTGAGCCTACCACGACTAAGCCTGGCCTCGGTTGCCCGTCAGTCCACTATTCTTGTACCAGTCACGTTCTCATAACAAACATCCTTCGTTTTCTCTCTTCCACGTCTGTCTCTCAGGTCACTCGTAGCAGACTTTGTCACCAGCCTTTACTTTTGCTTAACGATCGCAACTTGACAGGACGCGGCCGAGGAGGTGGCGGAGGCGGCAGCATGGCCTCTCGTGAGCCACCTAAGATGTTCGGATAAGCTCCAACGTCACAGAGTTGGCATGCATATACAATAATATTTTCTCAACGAAATGAGCTTTATTGTGTAGTCAAGTTGAAACTCGACGAGAGATGCACTGTCGTTTACTATCTCAAGGGCTGCGATCCTTTTCCTTCGCCCATGGACAATGACAACGCCGGACTGGCCACTGCTCGTCGAAGGAACACGCGCTTGATCGCCGTCGAAGAAATTGGCACTATCTCGCTTGCCGAACTTCTATGGGGTGTCTCGCAATCTACACACAACTACCCCTCAAAGCTCGAAACTATCGACGCCTTGAATGCCATCATGGCATATGGACTAAGCAGCCAGTCCAGAATCACTACGGCAGCAGGCAATGTATTCTACCCTTTCAGCAACCATCCCCAAGCAGAGATGATCGAATTGGACGGTGGCATCCATGCTCATTGTGGATACTTCACCAGTCTCCGTACGAGCGTCAGCAGGTTGCTCGTGAACGTCAACGTTACAACGGGTGCCTTCTACAAGCTCTTCGTCTTCTTCCTATTAGCGTATCAAGGGCTACACGGTACCTCGAGACCTGCACACTGCGTCCTATCAAAGGACAAGAACATTGTTGGCGCCGATCAGCTCCAAAACCTCACACATAACCTTTGCTATACCTTCGCTAGCGCCACCCGCTCTGTCAGTATTTGCCCTCCCGCCTAGTATGCCGACACACTTTGCGAGCGCGGCAGCTCATATCTCCATGGCGTCCTCAAACGATCGGATGAAGTGGCATACCACGAGGCAGCCTGGCTTGGGGTAAATCCAAACCTCGCGGAGACTACGTTCTACCTTTAGTTCACAGACTTGTTGGATATGATGTAGCCGGGAGGAAGTCAGTGTGTTTCGCATTGGCTTAATTTCAATGAGAAGTTATTGAATAGCTCCAGGCTGTCAGATAATTGTACCTGGAAAATATTGTAAGTCGATGTATACACCTTGCACCCTTGAAGTAGGTACATTGCTTTTGCCCTCATTTGACAATCCATTTCAGCTGTCCCCACATGTGCCCATCTAGAATTGGCCATGGACTTGTTTCTTGCTTAACTGCACTCTTTCTTTGCATTGATCGTCGGGCATTGCTCATTGGTCACTGCTACATCAAATGGCGCTAGTACCCAGTATGGTGCATATCATGTAAGTCAGTCGCTCGCCCCCGTCCCGCAGTGTTGCTCCACAACGATAGCAGCCAATCGGAGGGCAGCAACTCCGCATGGCATATCCTCTGCTAGGAATGGAGTGATGTTGGACTGTACTCGAATTGAGGACGCAAAGACCAAGGGCTTGCTGAATGTTATCGTCACCACTCGGACGGGCGTGGTGGACGGTGGGCTGCAAGGGAGGAACGCGTGCTGCAGGGCGTCACGGGGTCGCGGTCGCCTTTCCCCGCACTAGCCCGGAAGGACGACAGCCAATCAAAACTCAGCTCCCAGCCACTCCGTTTCACCCCACTGCAGCCCTGGACAGCACACGGGCGATTAGATGCGCTCGCATAGGCGGGCTAGCTTATCGGCGGTATACGGGGACGAGCGTCTCTCCTCCACCATGATCGCATTCCCTCTCGACTCTGTCTTGACCAAAGCGCTAGGCACCCACCACCTGCACTGTTCCTGCCTCGATTCACGCGTCACAAGGGTACTCCCATGTGCCGCGCAGAGCCCCGACACGCCCGTAGTACCGCATAGCTGAGACCGCGAACCAGCCTTCCCACGCATTCCGCCCATTCCTCCATTCCTCCGCCACCAGCGACTGCGCGCAAACCATGATGGACACGACTGATCGCGGGAGCTTATACGAGCACGACATCCCGTCGCTGAGCGCGTCGCTCGAAGCCTTCGACCCAGAGCGCAGCATGCACTCGGCCTACAGCGGCCGCTCCAACATGCATTCGTCGCGCTGGAGCGTGCCCCAGGACGAGGTCGACAGTGAAACCGAGTCGGACGGGCCATGGGCGCCACCAGCATGGCAAAAGTCCCAATCCAGCAATCACTGGTACAGAAAGTCGCTCCTGGGTGAAAGCGCCATGCGCAACAGCCCGTCCAAGTCGCCGTTTGAGTACCGCACCGATCGCGACGTCACACCCTCGCGCATACCCTTACCAGAGTCGCCCTACAAGCAAACACCGCGCACCAGCCCCGAACCCATTCCCGAGGAGGAACAGAGATACATGTCGACCAACATTGCGTCGCGACTACAGAGCCCGGAGGAGGAGCCGCAAGCGAGCGCGGGCGCATTGGCGGGGACTGAGTCGACGCTGTCGCAACATGACGACGGGCCAGTCGAGGGTTGTAAGTAACGCAAAACAATGCGCGCTGTTTATACTGACAGCCATAGTCATGCGCTTTGCGTACAGAGGAGAAGCTAAGTTCCGCACAGCGCCCATCGAAGATACAATCACCACCTTTGCAAGCGGCCTCCACATCTTTACCAGGTCAAGAGCCAACCTCATCTTTACTGTCGCGACTCTTTTAATGTCTTACCTGTTACTGCACCCCTGGCAAGCCAGTCTTATTCCAGATGTCGCGAATGTCGCCAGCATGGCGAAACAGTTTGAGCCTTTGCTATACGCTTCAGAGAGTGTCATTCCACGGTCGCGCGAGCTCGCAGACGCCAGTATCGCCGTGCAAGACCTGGGAGAGAGCGTCCGTGCGACTAACATGTCTGCGTCGCCTGTCATCATAGATCAGCTGGACGACCTGGGCGATAGTCTCAGGATCCTATCCGAGAAGATTACCAGCTTCTTTACCAACGTAGATGGCGATATGGACTCGTAGGTATAGCCTTCTTGACCTCGTACACCTACTGATGACTGTAGCATCCTCATTACTATGGAATGGGCCAAGCGAGAGCTAGCAAGTATTCAAGGCCCAAAGGTTGGCATGATTGATACAGTCATCGACAATGTTCATGGCGGTCTCAACGCGATTGGCCTGCTTGAGCGCAACGGCGAAGCTACAGCCGTTGGCCGTGTCGTCAACGACATCCTCGGACACACTACACAACAGCGGTCGAAAGCTACCCTGCAGCGGACGTTCGACTACCTCCTGACCACTCTAGAGGAGAACATTGCAAACGAACTCGCACGCGCAGACGTCCTCTTCCAACTCTTCGAAAGTGTAGACCGCCAATTCCACAATCTCCACCGATCCGTCGCCAAAGAAGAAGATTCACTCGCAAACCGCAAAGACGAGTTCCTCGCTTCCATGTGGCGCACTTCCATCAACAACAAGATGAAGATCAAAAAGTACGAAAAGAACCTCAAGCTTCTCAAAGATGTGCGCGCATCAACCCTCATCAATAAATCGGAGCTCAAGGTGCACATTCAAATCATCCACTCCGTTAGAGACCAGCTAGACAAAGCACGCAAGAATCTCATCAGCCCTTTGATCCGCGCCGCGCAGAGCAACAGCTTCGGTTTGGACCAGCAGTTGAACGACCTGACAGGTACATATGGGTTTTTGAAGACGCTGCGTGACGATCAGAAGAAGAAGGTTCGACAGCAAATGTGGGGCGAGCCCAAAAAGCGCATCGCCATTACTGCTGGTGGGAAGGAAGAGGAGATTGAGGGGGACAGCGAGTAACTTGCTCACCTCTAGTCTCTTTGTTTTCTCCTCCTTTTTGAATACTGTTTTCCGGCGTTCAAATGCATAGCTTACCTCTCTTGCTTGGCTACTACTGACTGCTACTTCTTTCTTGATCGTTCTAGCATGGCGACTTGGTTAGATAAAGGAGCGGTGTCCTGCTTACATTTATCGCGGCGTCGGACTGATGAGATATGTATCATGGCGTATTGGACACATCAAATGTATGGCATTGTTGCCTTGATACTTTTGGAAGGAACATGGATAGGGTGGAGGCGTTCTTGTTTAAAACAGCTTTGCACAAGCATTACCACTACCACATACTGATATCAATCTAAACATGAGTATTACTATGCTTGCGCCGTTGTCGTCAACGAGATCTAGAGTTTGGTACGCTAGAGCTCTGTACAGTGGCTTGCATATTGCTACCGGTGCGGACTTGTTCCGCTTGTCTTATAGTACCTAGGTACCTAACGAACGTCAGCCGCCCCTTGCTGATTAGCACACAGTATGCTTAGGCAGCCAGACTACACTTCAACATATATGTTGTATAGCTACCCCACTACATTGCGGCACAGTTATCGCAGGGCCTCGACTTGAATCATTCCACAGAAAATACACTCCACGTAGCATAACTTGAGACCACGTCTCCCTTCCCACCTTCTTTTCTCTGGTCCCCTTTCAGCACTCAACTCATACCACAACACGCTGCACATCCAGCCGAAATGCCCAATCGTTTCCATCGCTCCAAACCCATCCCCTCCCCTACAGTCCTAGACCCTCTTCCCCCAGGAACCCAACCTGTGATCCGCTCAGGGCTCTCCGCAGTAACCTACCACATCCCCGTCTCCCCTCCCTCTTCCACTCGATCCTTGTCCAAAACCACAATCTCCCTGCCCCGTCACTCAAAATGGACATCAGGCCTCCACTTCCACACCCTTCACACAGAATACCTGCACCTCGTCCGCGGCTCCATCTTCGTGTACCTAGACGGGCAGACCAGGATACTGAGCGCTGCAGCTGGTGGCGAGGTATGCGTTTACGGCAGTTACAAGACTGAACCCGGACTAGTTATCCAGATCCCCAAGTACGCACGGCATAACTGGGGTAGAGCGAGAGAGTATCTAGCAGTCCACAGACCATCTTGTGTTAGACCACGTTTTCCGGTTGATATCGACGATGAGGTTGTGGTGGAGGAATGGACGGATCCGGCGGATGGGGGGAAAGCGCTTTTCTTCTGGAATTTGAATGGGGTTATTCAGGCACCATCCACCACGACGCTGCCTCGGCTTCAGCATTTCACGAGATGGGTGCTGGGGCGTTGGTGGGTGGAGTTTCAGCTGTGGAATGTGTTTTGGGAGTGTGATAATTGGCCTGTGGTGCTGGGGTTGAGGAATATGTTGGGGGAAGGGAGGGACTGGTGGCCGTTGCCGATTGATGTGTATTTGAGGGTTAGAGATAGATTGCCTGAGCTGTGCTGGTTGGGGCAGTGGAATAGGAAAGTGGAGGGGTGGTTGGAATGGGTTATTATACTGGTTTTGTTGGGGTTGGTGAGGGGCGTGGGATGGGTAGTAGGTGTCAGGGCTGTGGAGAAGGAGAGAACGCCAGTGGCATTGTGGGAGGAGTACCAGCAAAAGGGACGTAGAAGTTGAATCATGGGCTTGACAGACGTTTGGAATGATTGTAAACGTGTTTTGAAATCTGGATATGTCCTACCAACGCCGCTCCAATCGTGTGTGAAGTATGCAGGCCATAACGCTCCGTACTCGTATCCATACCCATCCGTACCTGAGGTCTCTTTCTTAACCAAAACGACCATATTCCAAGTCTTCCTCTCCACTCCACATCTCTAGATGAGATGCTTGCTTCTGAAGTAGGCGCGGAGGTACACAACCTGCCAAGCCCCCAGTCCAACCAACATACCCATAGTGCCCAGCGCAAACCACTTGACGCGCTCATTGGTGCTCTCATTGGTATCACGCAGCTTCTGCTCGCGACTCCTCAGGTAATCCATCTCGGTGACAATCTCGCCAACTGTCTCCTCGATCCGCCTGAGTTCCGCTTCTACAGGCTTCAGCTTGTCGACGGCTTGGATGGCGTTCCAGTCCTTGGCGTCAGCGCCAATGTCAATGTCGAGCTCAACGTGGCGGGGTGCGATGTTCTTGGACGAGCCGGACGAGGTGAAGATGTTCTCGAAACATACGTCGAAGGCTGAGTCGGCGTGCGAGGTGAAGGCGTAGCGGTTCTCGCCCACTACGTCTTTGGGGCGGTGGTAGTCGTTGCCCATTGCGTCGCGGATCTGTTTGTCGCTGTCAGTAACGTCTTCAGGCAGTATAATGCTCGCATGATGCTGGTTTGTTGACATGGCGCTGGAATTGCAACGTACATGCATATCAACTCTCTGTCCATCTCCGCGGTATCCGTCCAGAATCGCCGTGACAACCACCAACTGGTCCTTGGCAACAAAGTTCCTAACGCATCGCTCGTACTTGGCCGAGTCGTGTGGTGCGACGGGATGGAGGTCGAATTTCAGGGCCGCGGCGAGGGGGAGGATTGCCAGCAGCACGCAACTGAGAAGACGTGCTAACCGGTCCATGCTGGATTGGGGATATGTGGAGAGCTGCAGCGCTTGCGGACTCGAGTTGTTGCCCTCTTGGTGGCTCCGCGAATTGTACAGCTGTCGCAAGACCGCGCGGAAGGACAGATGGTCCGATTCTAAGCTAGCGCGGAGTGGGGAAGGCGCGTGCGGACCCTGAACAGCCGCCAGGTGGGAGGAGCGTGTCTTGCCACCACTCTTCCAGCTTCAACATATTGAGACGACCACAAATCGGCGCTAACTTGACAGAAGTCTAATGATACAATTTTAGAAAGCTTATCAGAAACTAGACTATTTCGTGACGGCGTTAACCCATACCAACGCCAACCTGTCGCTGAGAACGCTCAAAAGACATATCCTACGGTACGACAACAGCCTTCTCACCAAGCGGTAGTACCGCCATCCAACTTCAGATCATGCCCAGTCATGTAGCTGCTCGCCTTGCTCAACATGAACAGTCCCGCAGCCTTGTACTCTTCAGGAGTGCTGAGCCTGCCCAACATGCTGTTGTTCTCCCATTCCTCGCGGCTGGCCTCGCCGGCGTCGAAGTTGGCTTGCACCATGGGCGTCACGATATGACCCGGACTCAACGAGTTCACTCGGATACCCCCTGAGCCATCTGGATTCTTCCTGCCCCATTCCATGGCCAAGTTCCGTGCAAGCTGTACCACTGCCGCCTTGGACGAGTTGTAAACGGGTGCGATGAAGCCTCGGTTGGCAATCGTGCCGCTCATGCTTGCGACCAGGCAGATCGACCCTTGGATCTTGTATTCCATCATCTGACGGGCGCATTCTCTGGCTGCTAGGAACACGCCGGTGTAGTTGACGTCGAGCATCTTTGCGATGTCTTCTTTCTTGAAGTCGAGCGCGGGTGTAACTTGCTGAATGCCAGCAGCTGGAGAACGGATGGTTAGTATTTGACTTCCAAAATGTTGGGGAAATGCTGTACCTGCAATGAGGCCATCAAGACGTTGGTGTTCCGAGGCAATACCGCCGATGCACTTTCGCATCGCCTGCTCGTCTGTAACGTCCACTCTATGGTACTCCAGACTCGCACCGCTGTTGCTCTTGAGACGGCCCTGAGCCTCTTGAAATGCTTGAGGGGGTTCCGGTAGCCGGTCGAGACAATGCACCTTGCCACCAGCCTCTACGAGCCCTTCGGCCATGCATAGGCCTAATCCACGGCCTCCACCTGTTGATACGTTAACACGGGTTACAAAGGCATATTGTCTGCTCTAGAGATGGGAGGAGGACGGCATGCTGCACCTGTAACCACGAACACTTTTCCGTCGAGGTCGAATTGGCTGAACCGCTTCTCTCCAACAGTCTCATGTTTTTCGTATGGAACTTGCGGATAGGTTGCGTCCAGGTGTGAAGCGATCCCTCGGCGCTGAAGAGGGGTGGTGCAAGGCTGAAGTCGGAACGCAGGTGGCGCTGGGCGCGCGAAACGTCGAAGCAACATTCTCGAAGACCGGAAAGCTGCCATGACTGATGTTGTGTGTTTGCAGACTGATAGTTGAAAGTAAGAAGACAAGACAAGAGGAAACACAATGTTGAGCGACAAGCTGAGGCGCTCCTGTGCTGACATGTATATGTCACACAGGCATGATGTAATTGCAGCTCATACGCGTACCTCTCCTTCCTTCACCTTGGCTGACAGACAGAGCATCGTGACTTCCGCGGCGACCCAGTCGCGCGATTCGTCGAAACCCTAGAAGGAAGCCGCTGCAGACGATGAGTGAAAAGCATGATGCGAGGCGCGTGACGGAAACACGGCATAAGATTTGGTAACGATTAGCTTACTGGGCTTGCCACACAGATTTACGAGCATCAATCTCACGATGTTGGCACCTGCAGGCACGGCTGGCCTGCGTGGTCTGAATGGGTCGCGCCTGTTCCCAACCGGTATCCGGAATGCGGGGCTGTGGGTACACAGGGCTGGGTGGTAGCTGTGGTGATTGGTCGCGGGTAGTGTCGCCAACACGCCAGAGGTACATCATTCTGAGCAAACATGGGAATCATGTGCCTTGACGCGTTATCAACGATGGGGAAATGTGCATTTTCCCATGATAAGAGTCTGACCGTGCAGCATGCACGACCATGATAGCGGTGGCAGTGGAGTATCTTCTCCACTTTGCCATGGGATTCACGTCAGGCTTTCGCAGCGTTCCTTGCATTGCAGGATTCATTTTTCACGATAGAAGGGCCTGGACAGCTCGAGAAGGATCGTATCGTCCATCAAAACGCGCGGCTGAGAAACTGGAATTCGAGCTTCGGAACAGCGCGAAACATTTCTCATCGCCGATCTCAGAGGCTGCACGAAAACATGACTTGGCAGGCACGGGAGGATAACAGTGTGAAAGACATGCTGATGGAAGTCGAAGTCTCTAGATTATAGCCACAATCAATCGATAATTAGCTTTAGCATCCATTTCAAAAGCTGCAAATGGATATGTCTATGTAAACTTCATCTCTTCTCGCTGCTTAGCTCGCGCAACCAACAGAATGTGGATATATAAACCAGCCCTTCGCCTCTTCAAGTTTCCCATCATTACAAGTCTCACCAATGAGTCTCAAAAAGCACAAAGCACTTTTCGATGACTCTGGCGATCCAGATTTTGCGTGTACCACCAGCGTCCCCAAAAATCTATCCATCAAAGACATGTTCGCGAGCTTACATACGTTCTGGGTTTGGTGATTGGGTGTATATCCCTATGTACAGTGCAATTGAGCGGCCTTTGTGATTTTGTAGCCTTTTGACTTGACTTGACGTGCACATAGCTGATCACAGCGCTTTCAAATTTCGCGATTGCGAACATTGCAACTGATGTGTTTTCGTGTGGGGTGCAGCAGCATCTATTGCATCGATGTTTTTTGAGCGTGATACATTTCTGAGCAAGAGAGAAGCGCGACAGACATGCAAAAGTGCTGGCGTAAATATTTCGAATGAGACTAGGGACTAGAACCTGGCACGTTGTGCGAGACAGCGTGAACAAGGCGGGGTGGATGCAGCGTGCCCCGCTTGGAAACACTACTGCGCCCACTCAGCCCTCAACACGATATTCGCCCTCTCAACGCCCCGCACCTCATGCACTCGCTTTTTCTGCGCATGCTTGCTTCATAAATGCACCGAGATCACATCCTTCCATCAATCATCTCTCTCAGAGGTTAATCGGCCTGATGGTCTAGTGGTATGATTCCTGCTTTGTAAGTCTCCTCAAGCACTCTAGCTTGTAAACAACGTCTAACAAACTCAACAGGGGTTGACATCTGTCACATTACCTATTCTGCAGGAGGCCCCGGGTGTAAGTTCACCCATCAAGATTCGATCTCGAACGCAAACTAATAGCGTCCAGTCGAATCCCGGTCAGGCCCCATCTTCTTTTTTGCAGAATTTTGCATACGGAAGAGCTAGGACATGAGTTGGGCGTGTGACTTATACCTTTCTTTTTAAACGATTAAAATTCTGTAGCAAACAGCGAACAGCTTGCATGCGCGTACGTGAGACAAAGGGCTAACTGTTGTGACTATGCTTGCAGCCTCGCCCCTGTACGAAGAGTCACAAATTCCACAAAGCTTCACTACCAGTATTTGTCTGTCACCAACTTCAACCCCTCATCCCCAAAGTCCCGTATACCCCTCTCCTCCACCCGCGTCCTCGTTCGAAACGTCTTCTCAATCTCTCCAGTCTTCAGATTCACCCCCTCATGTTCAAACTGCTCTCTCTTCACAAGACAACCTTCTATCGCCCATTTCGGCACTGCTTCCTCAAACCTAACGCCTTTTTCCTCTAGCATCATTCTAACAAGCTCCTGCGTCTTCTTCCCATTCATCTCCTTGGTCGAATACATGGTCCTCGCAAAAGCAGAAACAGAATTCCTCACAGCATCATTGCGACAGCGCCAAATCAGATTGTTAAGCGCTTCAGCTATGTCAGGCACAGGAAAGAACCTCGCATCGAAATGTGGCGCCCCAAGCACTTCTTCCACATCGCCCTTGACCTCCGGCTCGGGCATGGCCCTTAGAGCATCAGTGAGATGTTTGTTGAATCTCACGGAGCAGTAGCTAGCGCTCAGACTGCATAGCTTTTGTACTCGCTCGTTGAAACTCTGCGCGCCTTCTGGGAAGACTAGGGTGATTTCGTCGGATTGCGTGTATGCGACTGTGGCTCGGGGGAAGAAATGAAGAAGATCGGCGCAGGTCGATATCATGGCGCTGTGTATGCGCTCGTCGAATGGGCGCGCGAAGTGGGATGTGAAGCGTGAGAAGCCATGGCCGTCCAAGCGGAGGATGATGGGTTTGTCGAGAGGAAGGGTCTGGTCGAAGTGTGCTTCGTATGATTTCATGCGCGCTGCGAGTGATAAGGGTTTATTATCGGTATGCTGCGCTGCCGGCGCATTGCCGTTTTCGTGATCTGACATGGTGTTGATGTTGGTATCGGAATATGCAGGTTGGCTATGTTGGCTGTTGAGAGGTAGGACTACATCTGCCTTCACCCTAGATGTAACGATGACTCATCAGCCTCACGTGCTTTCACCATGGTTTCTTGAGAAGAATCATTATGGTAGTCACATCACGATGAAGGACGGATTGGAGGATACTTCTGAAAGCGGCATTATCCTTCATAGTTTTTTGAATATCATAAGAGCGTCGTGCTCAACTATCCCAATCATCGTTCCCAGCTTAAGGTAAGCACGAAAGGATCGGCTTGAGCTTGTTGATGATCTCAGTCTGAACCGCTGCATCATTCATAGTCGTCTTGTCGTTCGCATCACCAGGGCTGATGGTGACGTAGCAGTCGCTTCCACGGATTAAGATAACATCCGCCTCCCACGGCAGGCGCGTGCTACCGCACCATTCCGCATCGCGAGCGCTCAAAAGACCGGTGTTGATGCGAGTGAAGATGTACTTGAACTGGCTAGGGTCGCTGCACTTGGTCTCGGATACAGCGGGGAAGTTGACGTTGAGGAAGGAGTTCGCTGGGAGGTATGGCTTTCCAGAGTTGATGATAGTCGTGGTAACGTTCAGAGCCAGGTCAGCATAGACCTTGCTGTGAAAAGGAGTAGGTGCATTCCATGCGGTAGGATCTCCTGTCACGCCAGAGAAGGCGATGGCCGGGATCTGAGCCGTCTTTGCCGCGAATGCAGCGGCGCCGACTGTACCGGAGAAGGGAACCTGAACAGCAACATTGCTGCCGACGTTCGGTCCAGTCAGGGCGAGTTCAGGCTTTGCGCCGTTCCAAAGCTTGGGAGCCGTGACATCGATTCCCTCCTTGATCGAGGTGACCGGGAAAGAGTTGACGTAGTTTAGGCGAGGGTCTGTCGCGTTTGCGCCGGTTGGCGGGCTTCCTCCTGGGCAGGACGCATGAATGCAACCGTCTGAATCAACGGTTTTCGGGGGTGCGTCGGAGGATCCTGATATAAGTCAGCATGTGTATATGGCCATGACTCGACTACCAACCTCTGCCAGACTGGTTCTCAGCGGGACCAGACAATACGACTTCATGGCCAGCAGAGTCCAAGACGTGAAAGAAGGTGCGAAGGTTTGCCTCTGACCAACCGTCATCGTTTGACTGAACGATGCGAACGGCTTGGGCGAAAGGAACTGCCGCAGCGAGTAGTAAGAAGGATCGCATCTTGAATAACGAATGGAAGACGAAGAAGCGAACGTGTTTGATGGAGCGACCTGAGACCTCTGCGAGTAAACAGCGCGCACCTGACGTTTATAACAACACCCTCCTCCCGATCTATCCTTACGCCAGCCACAGAGTCCCCAGTCTTGATCCACCGCTAATGTTCCAAGCATTATGCGAGCCGAACGGGCGAACAGAGGTCAGGAACACAGCCATGGCACACGCCGCAGTCTAGTCACAACGTGCGGGTAGCAGCGATCTGATTGCTCCTCGCATAAATGACTGTGGTCGTGACATGCTGCAAACACCGGCTTTGAGGCTGTGAGTGGTTGTTGACCTCCGAAACGGAGACATTTCCAAGCCTTTGGGGGTGTCGCCCCTAGCGCCTCGGCTGCAGCCACTCGAATTGGCAGGAGCGCCCGGTAGTCTTTTGCACGTGTGAGGAGCTCGAGGTGTCATTCACGGATTTTGACATGCAAGTAGTTTGGTTCATGATCTTTCATATAGCCGTCTATCGGTTTCCAAGGAACCGTTCCTCACACTGACTATATGGGATGTCACCGGCGCATGTAATCAAACGGCCCGTTCCTCGATGAACTATGCTTCCATTATTCAATATTGAGTCGTTCGGACCGCTGTGCATGAAATCTCATGCGGCATGTCGACATGTGAAAGTATCCGGAACCCGTGGTATCAATCTCCTAATTGCCAGAACGCCTGATCCAAATGCTCTATATTTCTGTGCCTCGCCAGATCCTTGACATCTCCACCCCTCGCTCATACTATATGGGCAGGCTTCACCGGCTGCTGATAGTAGTCGGTCGCAGCACCGCTCTGGTATGGTGGCAGATACTGGTTGTTCATCTCAGCAGGTTGCGTCTGCGAGTGGTATGCGGTATTTTGGTATTCGGGTGCGCTGTTGTACGGCGATGATTGCTGAGCAGGTACGGAGCCCCCGAATGGGTTGTGCGCAGGTGCGTACTGGCCTCGTTTGGCCTCTGCCTTCGCGCGACGATAACCGATGACCGAGTAGATGAAGAGACCGAAGTAGCTGAGGCTGCGATGTGTCAGTGCTGCAAACGACCTCCGGAACTCTGAACGTACAATACGAAGACACCGAATCCAAGCCCTACATGGCTACCGCCTTTGCCAATATCTGCAAACTCCATGATCAAGGCGACGCCCCAGAACGCAGTCTGGAACGAGTTCATGGTGAGGAAAGTGCCGGGTTTCAGCGCATCGCGAAGGAAGAGCAGGATGGCGAGAATGTCGATGAGGAGTACTATACAGCTGAAGAGTATAATGACAATGAGTAATCTACTGGCTGTAAGCTTTGTGTATGCGCCGTTGATGGTATGATTTACGAGACTGAGGGTTGGATAACGTCTTCCAGTTCTTTCACATTGCTCAGCGAAATGCCTACTGCTCCAATGATCAAGAGCATGATACATATGCGCACTATCCAGAAGGGCACGAGAACGCGCTTCTGCCAAAATACCGGTCGTTGCGCCATGGTGAATCGTGTCGCTGGAGATTATCGTTGCTTGTCGGTGGCTAGGTGCGATGTTTGCGCAACGAAAAGAGGAAACCAGGATATAAATCTCTGTTTGCAGGGCTGAGCGCGAGATACACCGATATTTCGGGAACTCGCGTTGACTGGGCTGTGATGCGTACGCTCAGGGGAACGCCTTGCGGCGCCGTGATGAAACACGCGTTCGGCCCTGTACATCTTCATCTCCCTCTTTTAGCATCCGCGCCGGTCGGAGGCCGGTGTTGCAGCATCGCCTCTATACTCAGATGATGATAGATGTGTTGGATATGCGTCGTAGGGTCTATATTGGTGTGATGCCATACATATTCGCAGTCCTGATGAAGAAGCAAAACGGCTGTCACGAGTTTCAGGGTCTGTGGAGATGGGCCGTTAGGCGATGCTCGTAGCCTCGTACGCGATAATAGCGCGGTGGTCGCAGCGTCGTGGCTGAGGCAGTCAGGCAACGATAGACTCCAGCACCCGATCAACAGTCATGAGCAAAATGCATCTGCATGCTGAGTTGTGCACAAGTCGGCCTGTCTCGCATGTACGCATCATGCTTCGATGCACGTCGATCGAATGTGGAAGGTATGGAGGCGGGCACTTTCCGCGCCAGCCATCTGATCGGAGTGGGGCTGCCACGAGACCCATGCACGCGTTGTTCCCGCCCGATAAGCGCGATAACGAGCGACACCTTGATGGGCAGCAAGAGCTTCCCCAGATTACAACACATAGCTATCTCTCGATCGAGAGCTGTACGATAGTCCGAAAGTTCTATCCCCATCTTCATCATGGGTTCCAACCAGTCACGACCGTCCGATGCTGCTGTTAATGAGAAGTTGATGGAGCGGCTCCAGGCGCTCCACATGAAGGATGAACGACCCATGAACGAGAAGGACGGATTCGTTGTTGTTGGAGGAGAGGCTCGTACGTTACATCAAGTCAAGCAAGCTATATCAAGTCTGACTGTCGAAGCACCTCGATACACCCCTGGCGTCAAGTACCAACAAGATGTCTCTGCTGCGGCGGTGTCAGCGTGGGAGAAGGAGCTCATGGAAGACCCAAAGGTACTACACACGGCTCTTGTACTGTCTCCTACTTACGTCTTTTAGAACCGCCTCGCCCTCGCAGCCCTGAGCTCCAACTCTGCCAACGCCGTACTCTCATCCCGATCCGCTGTCATCGCAGACACTCAAAAGTTCAACATCAAGATCCCCTTCGAGGGCTCCCCTGTCACAAACCAAGCATCATCTGGAAGATGCTGGCTCTTCGCTTCCACCAACGTCTTCCGCGTCGCCATCATGAAGAAGTACAAGCTGTCCGAATTCCAGCTATCGCAAGCATACCTCTTCTACTGGGACAAGATTGAGAAGGCAAACTACTTCCTCGAAAGCGTACTAGATACAAAGAGTGAGGAGATTGACAGCCGAATCGTGCAGGCGCTGATGTCCAGCCCTGTCGGTGATGGTGGTCAGTGGGACATGGTGGCCAACCTCGTTCAGAAGTATGGTCTCGTACCGCACTCGCTCTACCCAGACTCGTTCAACGCGTCTAACTCATCTACGATGGACCGTCTGATTACCACAAAGTTGCGCGAGGATGCCGTCCGTCTGCGTGCTATCGCATCCAGCAACGCATCGCCAGACGCGATCAAGGCGACTATTGCCGAAGAGAAGGAGAAGATGCTGCGTGAGATCCACCTAATCCTTACACTGATGCTAGGACCTCCCCCGTGCTCTACCAAGCCCTTTACCTGGGAGTACTACGACAAGGACGGCAACTTCTGCACTGTCAAGACGCGACCCACTGCTTTCGCAAAGGAGCTTTCCGATAACAAGACCGTCCGCGCGCTGTCTGGAACGGACGTGCACTCGCTCTTTTCGCTCGTCAACGACCCGCGCAACCCTTACAACCGCCTGCTCAGCGTGAAGCGACTCGGCAACGTCTGGAACGGCCGACCAGTGACGTATGTGAATGTCGACATGAAGACTATCAAAGACGCCTGCATCGCCATGCTGAAGAAAGGCATGCCCGTCTTCTTCGGCTCGGATGTGGGCAAGTACTCCGATTCCACCAAGGGAATCATGGACACGGATCTCTTCGAGTACGAGCTCGGCTTCAACATCAAGCTCGGCATGTCCAAGGCGGAGCGTCTGCAGACTGGCGAGAGCCAAATGACGCATGCCATGGTGCTGACGGCTGTACACGTCGTTGACGGCAAGCCCGTGCGCTGGAGGGTCGAGAACTCCTGGAGTGAGCGTGCAGGCGACAAGGGCTACTTTGTCATGAGCGATGCTTGGATGGATGAGTTTGTGTACCAGGCCGTCGTTGATCCTAGTGTTGTGAGCTCGACGATTAAGAAGGTGCTCGAGCAGAAGCCGAAGATGCTGGAGCTATGGGACCCGATGGGCGCCTTGGCGTGAGTGGATGTAGATTATGATACCTTTGATGAATTTATTGATGCTGTGAGAGAAGCCGATGGATGTAAGACTGAATGCGAACCTGACATGGAATGAAGTGCGCGTCCTTCATCGATCAAAGGGTGCTCAGTGCGGGCAGACAAGTGTGGTAGCAATATGGGGTGGGAATCTCACCAACGAGGTTTGCCAGCGCTTCAACCTTACAGTGGCTATCCATTCTCTTTTTAGTTGGTGAGTGTTAAGCAAAGTATTAAGACTTCGTGAGATGGTCGCATTCTTGATGTCAAGCAGCACACAAGGTGGTCTTTGGAACACAGTCATCGTCGTCGGTTCAGTATGGCCAAACGGCACTTTCGCTCCTTTGACGCAACAGTAATCGACCACCATTCTTCCCAAATACACTAGTAATTAGCTAGAGTAAGAGAAAGGCTCTCTGAACGTCTGGGTGAGTGTTGAGAGTGACAGGCTTGGTGTGGGTGGTGTTTGGGTATGTTGAGTTGGCAAAAAGTATGGAATCACATTTCTGTTCAATTGAAATGCTTCTAATACATTCCTACATTGTACAGAACGTGTATAACAGCAAAAAGAAACTGTTTCCGACACCGGGAATCGAACCCGGGCCTTGCCGGCACTGCGCTGCTGTGAGGCGGCGAGCTTACTCTGCGATGAGAGCGGCAAATCCTAGCCACTAGACCATATCGGACGTTGATGGAAGGAAGGAAGAACAATATCAATATAAAGAGAGGCATAAACACTTGACGTGGTTGAGAAACAAGTTCGAACAGATACGAGTCAGGAAATCGGGTAGGGAAAAGTTGGACCAAGATCAACTAGATCAAATCAAGCCTATGTATTACAGACCCACAAAGACCCGAGGCCAGACTATCTGTACTTATGATCTATTCTATTGGATGACCTAGGTGCATACTACATTATATGTGGCTTGCGAAGCCACTGTTGACGCATGGCCGAGGAGGTCCTCAAGACACTTTCGGATTACGCAGGATATCTGGTACCCCACTGAAGTACACCAGGCATCTCTATTGCATTTCGATCGTAATAGCACAGCTTGTGAAGACCTCCTGGCTTCAGAGCTTGTACCACGATTCACGTACTATCTCATTCGACCAACAGCTGCGGCTGCATACTCGCCCACCAAACGTAAATAGTTCACCCGAAAATCGACATGTTTACCTGCGCCGATAACTAGCTCCTATGCTTTGGTATCGAAGTTCGATCAATTGAAATAGTTCTCCGATGATGTGATGACTCCCGACATCGCCGCGTCCCGCCCCGCGAAACAAAAAGTTCCCCGCGAACACCAACTTCGACTGGACATAGCGGTCCTCCATTCCAACCTTCAACTTTTCTCATCCGCCCACAACACACACAATGGTCGCGAAGAACACGGAATTTGATCTGCAGACATGCGCGCGATCCAACATCCTCGCATTGGAGCCGTACCGATGCGCGCGCGAGTAGGTGAATATCCATGACTCTTACCGCGGTACCCAGCTCACGACGCGTAGCGACTACAAAGATGACGGCACCAACATCCTCCTCGACGCGAACGAGAACGCATACGGACCGGGACTACAATTGAATGGCGAGGGCAAGCTACCGGGCGCAAATGTCAATGGCACCTCCGACTCATCTTCTGCGATTGATGTCGATTTGCTTGGCCTGAACCGATACCCAGATCCGTATGCACACCACGAACGTTTGCATCACACATGCTGACGACCTCATACAGCCACCAAGAAGAACTCAAGCAGCTCCTCTGCAACCTGCGAAATACGCACACGCACACCTCAAAGAACATAACACCCGCCAACCTCTTCGTTGGTGTCGGCTCCGACGAAGCGATCGATGCCCTGATCCGTGCCTTCTGCGTCCCCGGCAAGGAGAAGATCCTGACATGTCCGCCCACATACGGCATGTACAGCGTTTCCGCGCAAGTCAACGACGTCGCGCTGGCCAAGATTCCCCTACAAACACCAAGCTTTGATCTCGACGTACCCGCGATACTGAAGGCCATGGATGAGGACAAGAGCATAAAGTTGGCGTACCTGTGTTCACCAGGTAACCCGACCGGAAAGCTGCTTAAGAAGGAGGACGTACAAAAGATACTGGAACACCCATGGAACGGTGTCGTGGTGGTGGACGAGGCATACATCGATTTCGCGCCCGATGGAACAAGTCTAGCAGAATGGGTAGCCGAGTGGCCCAACTTAGTAGTCATGCAGACACTCTCGAAGGCGTTCGGTCTCGCAGGAATTCGATTAGGTGCTGCATTCGCCGACCCAGCGATCGCCCAAATTCTCAACAACATGAAGGCGCCCTACAACATCCCCAACCCAACGAGCCAGATCGCACGCGCCGCTCTGAGCCCCAAGCACCTGCAAGTCATGCAAAGTCACAAGGACCTCATCGTCAAGCAGCGCGACAGGCTGATCGAAGAGCTGCCCAAGATCCCTGGTATCGGAAGCCTTCACGGCGGTGTGGAGTCGAACTTCTTGCTGTATCAGATACTCGATGCGCCGGCGGATCAGGGCGGTAGGCCATCGAACGAGACAGCGCTGGCGGTGTATGAGGGCTTGGCGGAAGAGAAGGGCGTGGTAGTAAGGTTCAGAGGCAAGGAGCATGGATGTCTGGGCTGCTTGCGGATAACGGTGGGTACGGAGAAGGAGGTTGATCGCTTCTTGCAGGAGATCAAGCAGGTGATTGAGGGTATCCACAAGAGTTCGGGAAAGCCGGGGAAGAAAGAGGAGCAAAGGAGAGAGAAGGAGGCTAATGATGTGGTTGCATAAAGCATGGGCAGGTAATAGAACTGTACATCAAGAGACGGTATCATCTAAGCAATACAACATCTTCTAGCTGTTGAGGTAAAGGCAGCTCCCTGAGGAGTGCCCCGCTCTGAATCCACGGCTTTCTTGTTATAATATCCGTATCCTCTCGCTCACTCCTTCTCTCACTTCTTCTTCGTGGTCTACTACCCACAACTGCTAATTCTTTGCCACAACAAAGCAATCTACCCCATGTCCCTCTCTTCTCTAGACAGATAAGCCCTCGGTCACATTATGGCGGATAAAATGGATGCAACAAACTTGGAGGCAGAGTTCAAGGCCTTGAAACTCAAGGGCAAGCTTTTGCAGAGAACACTCTCTGTAAGTATCACACGAACGAGATCTGATAGCGCCTTATACTTATCCGTAATCAGGACGTGTCCTGCGAATACGGAGCTTTCATGAAGCAGTACAACGAGGCGAATGACCGTATGCTCATTGAGAGCATCAAATCGCCGGACACGGGACGGAGTACCGATTGGGAAACTCAGAGCAAGAATGCCGTCGTCGTAATGCTGATCGATGCATCAAGTCACAAGGTGAGTACGCACTACCTGTACGTCTCAACACAGTTCTCATACAGTAACAGTTTTGCGACGAATTATTTGACAAGAAAGTCCCACGCGGCTCCGAAGCTTCAGTTCTCCTGCGTAATGCATTATGCGAGAAACTAAAGGCCAAGTTTCCCGATCTGGCACATAGCAAGTACTGCTTGGTCATACGTATATTCGCCAGCCTCGAGATGCTATCAATGACCACGGCGACGAGCGACAAGAGTACGTCACTTGCGGGTTTCCTTGCGGATTTCGGAAGGGTCGGCACCTTCTTCGATCTTGTGGTGACACCAGATGATCGTGGTATCAAGAACAAGATATGTGGTACGTTATCGTTGCTTTCATCGAAGACGAGTATGTACTGACATAAAAAAAGGCAACCTGAAACTCTACACGGCCAGCGAGCAATGCAAACACGTCTTCTTAGCAGCTGCCGGATCGCCATGGTATCACCAAGCTTTAGAGCCTTATCGTGGACAGACTTCGAAGATAACATTAGTATTCGGAAATGGCTTGGACAGTGGATTGAGGAAGATGGGTCTGCTCCTCGTTTCATTCCCAGCAGTCTTCGAGCCACCTCCTAAGTTCAAGATAAAGTCGGGCAGCACAACTAACGGTACTAAGCCTATGGAGAAACTTGGGGCCAAGTCCGAGACCGTACGAGCTCCCATGCTGTGTCTGAATCTTAGCTAATATGATTGCAGGACGCAACCCCAGGAGAGCATGCCGATACCAATGCGAAAACCACGGACGTTAATTGCACCGAGAAAGCTTTATGGTCACCTCTCTTCTCCTTCCAACTGCCAGCCTGCTACATCGGCGGTCGCATCCCTATCAACAGCGCAAAGCAGCGGATCGACATCTACGTACGGGCGCCAACAACCAAAGAGTTCAAATCGTACGACGCACGCTCCAAAGTCCAGTATCACCTCTGCATCGACTACTTCCTGCGCAACAAATGTGGAGACGTCAACTGCGAATTCTACCACGGTACCCTTGAACCCGAAGTACACTACGTTCTACAGCATACAACGATGGGTACAGCATGCTCAAAGGGTAGCGTCTGCCGTATTGCGAATTGTGCTTATGGTCACATTTGTCAGCGAGGCGAGTGTGGTCGTGCGGGAAAGAGGGTTGAGGGATGTCGCTTGCCGGGCTCGATGCATGGGCTGGACACCAAGGTCGCTGAATGGGTATCTCCGGACGAAGACAATGTGCGTCCTCGAGTACCCGCTCAGAGCAGTACTGCGTTAGCGACTGGAGCCTATGCAGGCGGCGGTGTTGCTCTTTCGATTGAAGAGGATCTCCTTGGATAGAGATCGCTGTATATGGCATGCATGCCGTGCGCAAGTGGATTGGAAGGTTAGAAGGAAGCTCAAAGATGGACAGGTAGCACGTCAGGAGATCGAATTGGGTAGACTGGAAAAGCTGTGAAGATTTACATAGGGCTGTAGAGATGTGAGCTCGTAGCCGAATAACAAAAGTGAGGATCTGAAGCTTTATCACGCCTTGGTGATGTCTGAACAGTACGGATGCATGGTCGCATTGCTGCCAACCTTTGAGAGAGTGCTTCTACACCCAATCTCCACGTTCAATCTTTCTTCTAAGCTGTGCTGTAGATGAACGCAGCCTCATTATTATAAAAACGCGCTGCCTTTTAATTTGTTAAAGCAGATGCTATACTGCACTTAGTTAAAGGTAAATAAGAGTAGCAAGTCTCTAGATAAGACACGTAAAAATGAGAAATAAGTCTACTACAACCGCGTCGTGCCCGCATTTCTGCACTAGCACATTCAACAAAGCAAAAACTAAGTCTACAAACAGATGATAAAATTAGACATCTAAATGTTACATAGCAAGCGCATCGAACACATTGATGTGATTAGCTCATACATCCACCTCATACAAGGGGAAAACTGAACACTGTAGAGCCGACGTTAGCTTTGGGTGACCTACTTTACATACTTTCATCTTAACGTAGGCTCTAGGGTGTTAAATTTTTCCCTTGTATGAGGTGCATCCACGTCGGAAGTGACGATGGAAGACTATGAGGAGTCACCGATGTCAGCTATGATGACGCTGAGAAGAAGGGAGATAGCATCCGGGGCAACGACACCATTCGACAGCCTGCCACTATCCATCATCCGCTACGTGCAGAAGGAATTGCGCCTGGATACTATGGAAGAAGTGAAACCTTCATTGAGCTCCGACAACGGCGACACATTCCTCCAGATGGCGCACCACATCATGTACAACAAGTCCTGGCGTACGCGCGAGCAAAAGTTTCATGACAGGATGACCCAGTCGGCTGTGGAGATCGAGCGGACTGTGGTCATGAAACAAGGGGAAGAGCTCGACACGATCTGTGGCCGCTGCCGGAAATACCGGACTGTTGACATGAATCCGCTGTTCAAAACGAGGGACGAGATTGCCGGAGTTTACATCGCCCGCACGACGAAGAAGTGCCCATACAAACAGTGCGCCCCGAAGAAGAACGCCGAGTCCCGTACTTGCAATCTGGTTCCCAGGGACAAGGAGGTCGAGTACATCTCTCGAAAGTCCTCTCGCTCGCTTGTCAACGCTAAGAAGCAAAACAAGAACAAAGGCGGAAAGAAGAGCAAGCTGAGCAAGTGATGCGTGCGCTAATCTCGCGTACAGTTATGTAGAGGAGTGAGTGTACGGAAAGTACTTCTAACAAGATGAGAAAAGTAGCGTTGGCGACCAGACGGTTACGGGAAGATATCAGGTATAGCGAAGCAATGTGCGGGCTGAACAAAGTATCCGAATCTAATTACAGAATTTTTGTGGCATATGATCACACATCCACGTTGGAAGTGACGATGCAAGGTACCACGCTGACTAAGCCAAAGGTGACGCTGGTGACGCTTGCTATCTGACATGAGCCCCACCAATGTTCCGATCGGACCTCCATCATCCCGACCAGAAAGTGCTCGAAGTACCACGCTCAACACTCCCTCTCCTCTAGATACTCACTCTCAGACCCCCATACTGCATTCTAACCTATATCGAACCTACGAATACAACAAACACCATGGTCCGACCAGACAAACCCCGCGACCCCATCGCCGGTCCCGAAACACCACAACCACCCTTCCCAATAAAGCTCCGAGGCCCCGTAGTAAAAGGCTTCGGACGTGGAAGCAAAGAAGTACAAATCCCCTAACTTTCTCAAACATCACTCCAAGCTAACAAAATCAGCTAGGCATCCCCACCGCCAACATCCCGCTCTCCGGCCTGAGCATAGGCGGCCACGACGAACTCGAATCCGGCATCTACTACGGCTGGTGCACCCTCGACACAAGCACAATCCCCACCTCCACAACCGCCTCCAGCGTCCCCAGCGCCACAGACGATACATCCGTCCCCTCGCAATCCTCATCCCACGCCGTCCTCGACCTCGAATACTCCTCTGAAACACCTACGCCCTCTACAATCTACCCCACCGTCCTCTCCATCGGCTACAACCCATACTACAAGAACAGCCAACGCAGTATCGAAATCCACATCTTACACAGCTTCGAGAAGGACTTTTATGGCGCGCAGCTTAGTCTCATGATATTGGGGTTCATACGGCCGGAGTATGATTATGTGAGCAAGGAGGCGTTGGTGGAGGATATTAGGGAGGATATCAGGGTTGCGCAGAGGAGTTTGGCGAGGGAGGGGTATGAGGTTTGGAAGAGGGATGAGTGGTTGAGGGGAGGGGAGGATGTCAAGGTGAATTGGAATCAGGAGGGGCAGAAGGATGGGGTGGGGATTGCGCAGATGATAAATTAGGGGGTGATGGAGGGGAATCGAGAGAGGAGAAGGTCCCACGATGCGCACATTGAGGGATATTATGAATGAACGGAACATTATTATCATACTGTTGTTCTAGCCGTGGAAAGCATTGGTATCGCGCCTTTGGTGGCAGCTCGTCTACTCCGTTTACTCCTTCATGTACGCCCTTAAACACCTGAAACGAATAACAAGAAGTAGCATACCAAGCACTACCTTCCATGATGCGCACGTCTCGTGAGACGACTCTGGTATCCATGCATATGCGCCGATATTCCCAGCAAACCAAAACAATAAAAGCACTTTTTTACTGTCGCCATGACATGATCGTAGATCATCTCGAAGTCCATCATCCGTATTCATGCAATCCGTCGTCGAGGAATGCAACAAGAGCTGCGTTCCCTACAGACTAATTCAAGCAGCCCAGGGTTCTTGTTCAAACTTGTCCCGCTCACTGCAGGCCTTTGTCAAGAACAGGCATGACCTAAAACTCATTAGCGCTTGACCCACACATAACTTCAAGATCCAACTTACACTCATACAAACAAGCACAGGCATATCAAACATGTCGCGCTTGATATGCCACCAGATCATACAATCAACCATACCATTTTTGGCGCCAAGACGTTGCATAGCACTCTCGCCCTCCACCTTGACAAGCGGATCGACCTTGACATCATTGCCGGCATTCGCACTCTTCATTTCCTGGATGCGATCCATGTCTGCCTTGGTCTGGTATCTGAGCATGTTGACGCGTTGAGAAGCGTAGCCGTGAGGGTCCTGGTAGCACAGTTCGGAGAAGTGCTGCAGGAACTCGAGGGCGGATTTGGGGTCCATGAGCTCGATGATGTTGACGCTTGGTGTGGTCTCGGAGTCTTGCGCGGTGAGGTTGGGTGTGGTGTTCTGGGTTGAAGCGGTATCGCTTTCGCTTGTGTCGCGGTTCGTGCCCGTGTTGACGTTGAGATTCGGCTCGTGGCCGAGGAGAACTTGGTCTTTCCAGCCCGTGAGAATAGTGAACTCCTTGTTGATGCCGACAATCTCGCCTGAGCGACGACAAATCAAGAAGGGCGTACCGACTTCCGCAAAGTGGTCTTGCAGTGTCATAACCTGGCGCTGGAGACCCATTTCTTGATGGATCAAGTCGTCTCTGTTCAGCTCTTCCCGCACTTGTAGCAACACAGGTCGGTAGTTTTGGAGATACTGTTGTGCCTTAGCGACCCAAGGCCTCGAATAGTTCTTGTCGATCAGCTGGTAAAGCCTATGGTAGCCCTTAACGTAATCATAGGGTTTGGTAACCCCTTGGTAGATGCTCTTGGTGTCGCGTTGGCGCTTGCGAACGCCATTTGAGTGTATCGGCTGGAGTGCTGTGGTCGAAGGTCTGTTTTCGTGTTGTGATCGACTAACAGCCGGAGAACGCTGCGCATGCTGTCGGTTCGTATTGGCGAAGAACGCTGCAGTCGCCAATGGGTTGTCACCCTCGAAAGTAGACGCGTCCGTAGAGGCTGGGCTTGCTGTGTGGCTCGCAGGCCCTTGGCCGATGACGAATGCGTGAGGACCACTGAGGCTGTCGTTTCGAAGACTATGGTGGTCGTGGCCAGCGGTGTTTGGCGTGTGGACATGCATGCTCCCTTGCCGCGAATGTGCATCTTGCCACTCGCCTGCTGGGAGTCCGTTCGCATTGTATGCCATAGCGGTTGCCGCGCTGTTCTGGTCCGCGTAAGTTGAGGGCATCTGTGCATTGTACATGTTCACAGCGCCGTTCATGTTCATCATCGCGTTATCGTGATGAGTGTCTACTGCGCCTGATGACATATGACCAAGCATGCCAAATTCCAGCGCTCCGTAATGATTTCCGAAATTGAGGCTCGAGATATCGAAATTGAAGAGTGCTGGGTCACTTGGGTCGAACAAAGGTCCAAACTGCTGCAATTGACCCTGTTGATTTTGAGACATGGGGTTTGGTGCGTTTTGTACTGGGCCGTGATGTGTTTGGTTGAACGGAGGTGATATTGGCGACTGTTGATTGCTGAAGCCGTCTTGAGCCACAGGCATTTGTCCTGGTATCGAATTGGGCGGGTAGAATGCCGCTGACTGGGCTTGATTGTACATGTTGCTCTGCGGAGAGACCGAGACTGGTTGTGTGTCGTGACTCGGTATCGGTGTTGGGCGGCTGCCGTTCATGTAGGGATAGTGACCGCCCACACCAGGCATGAGCGCTCCATCTGGCGCATCGTGGAGATACTTTGCCTTTTTGCGCACGCCGTCCATGCAGTGATCTTGGAGGCCGCGCTTGATGCAGCGATTGCATGGTCTTTCGTCGCCTGAAGGTGTCAGTCTTACCAATTCATACAATGACTCACAACCAATACTCACCACATGTCAGATGGGCTCGCTGGCAGGCAAAGCACGCTCTCCGCGCCTTCTTCCTCCGCGGTCTTAGAGGGTCTTTTGCATTGGGCTTGCCATTGGTAGGCTTCTGGCTGGAATCACCGTCGCCAGACTGGCGGTCTGTAGTCTGTTCAGCAGCCATGTCGTCGTCCAGGTCGCTCCTGTACTCGGGCGAAGGAGAGGCATCTTGGGCGTCTGGGGTGGTCATGATATCCCCTCTACTGGCGCAGGCACTCGGCCAAGCACGGACGGTCGCTGCGGTGGACGGAGGCGCTGGGGAGTGAGCCTAGTGCTGCGTGTAGCCGTCAATGGTGATCTTGGGGTGTTCCCAGCAAAACGGTTCAGCCAATGTGTCTGGGGTGCACGGCTGGAGGCGTTCCAGCTGCGTGTTTTAGAGTGCGATCACGCGTGCGCTGGCTGCTTGAACGGGCGCTGCCGTGGCACTCTGACAGGTCCAATGACGAGCTATGCAGGGGACCCAGAGAGTGAAGGGCTCTCAATCCGGCGGACAGGTATGGGACAGAGCTATTGTGGTACGGGGCCGGGGTCCATGTAATCGAGGGAGCATTCCAGGAGCACACAGAACCATGTTTGATAGCGAGATGCTACCGAGACGCGCTGCCCATGCTGCTGGGAGTCGAGTGTGGTTCTACAAGCGGTGCCGGGGTTCGTTCAGTGAGCCCGCGGGAGGTGAGAGCAGCAGCGTGGCAGTCACGGGTGCGGCGTCGCGTCGAGCGCGGAAGGCGCGACACGATAGGGCAGTGGGGTGATACAGCGCGTGCAGTCACGGTCAGCGCTGGGGCAGGTGCGATGGGCGATGTCGATGGCAATCGCGATGGATGATCGTCTGGGGAGGCCGGCTGCGAGTCGCGACGGAGCGCGCGGTCGAGGCGATGGAGGCGCTGCTGGGCTTGACGAGCGGCCAGGGCACTTGCAGCGCTGTGTGCAGTTGAGAGTGGGCTCGCGGCGTCGGGCGCTGGTCGTGTGCGGTATATTGGAGCTCGCTGCAAGATGCGCGCAGATGCGATTCCCCGCAATTGGCTGTTCGAGGTTTGCTGGAAGGTGCAGCCCACGCAGCTGCCTCGGTCCCTGTCGACCGGTAAGCCGCTTGCTTGGCCTGCCGCTAGCCCGCAGTCACGCCCTTCTGCTTCACTATTTGACGTCGCTAGCACTTCAGCCACTCTGGGGCTGCCCGCGGACTGTCTGCCACATGATCGTCGTCAATACATAGGTGGATCTCGCTCAGTCCATCTTTGCAGATTGGAGACCCTGCTGCAGAAGGCCCTGCCCAGTCACTCGCAATTCCCACCGCGACACCTCATGCCACACAGCGCATCCCCAAAAAGCAAGCAGCCGGCATGCCCAAACTGCCTCAAACTCGGCTATGAGGCATGCATGCAGTGTGGGATGCGAGGCCTTGGCGTTGGACCTCACTGGTGTATTGCCAGCCT